CGAGGTAAAACGTGCGAATAGCTGCAGAGAATAAGAGGTAAGTAAGCGAAAATAAGAAGTTTCGTGGTGCTCAACTTATCTCGCTTAAGCAATTGATGGGTACAATCACTTGAAGGAGGAAAAACCAACAATGCTCTATGACAGAAAGTGCTTGGTATCCAGACTGACACAATGACCACCAATGTAGCAGCTTTTGAGAAGTCTTTTATGAGCGAGTCAGGCTAGAGTGGCGGAGACGACTGATGAATACCGACAACACGTAGGGCTTCGCGTAGAGTGCAAAACTACGAGTTTTGTGAGTTTCGGTGGACCCAGGTTTCTTGCTAACTAGTTATTAATTTGGCTTAGAATGGAATGCATCCTCGGTAAGCAGCGGATACTGGCTAATTAGAGAATAAGACGCTGATTAATTCAAAAGAAGCGCAAACAGTCATTTATTCCACAGGTGATGTAGCTGCCCTTACTGCACCTCAGTTCATTACCAATATGACTCACCTCCCAGAAACAATTGCAATTAAACTTACTGGTGGCACCTAACCAAACGCTTGGTGATTAATTTGTTTGAAGGATATATTTCTGTGACACAGGACTTTAACTAGATGGCTAACGGCAGACTGTGCTCATGTAGGGTACGGGTCAGGAGTAATACAGGGTGCATCCTCCGTGTACCTAAACATTTCGTAGAAAGAGTTGAATTTCACATTGCTACAGCCAAGATCGCATATTTTCCAAAACTCTATGCTTCGTCATCCGATTTTTAGTTTCCACTCTTAATCACGCGGTTTGAACTCAGTGCCATCTCCCTAATCGGCAACAGAAATTTATTCGCCCCACCCTCCCGATTATTTTCATTTATCACTAAAGACCACATGCGACATTTTGATGGGGATTGAAAAAATGTTTTAATGCTTAACTAAACCTGTGCATATCAGCTCGATAATAATAACCACCAGCCCTACCCCGTATCAGCGCTTCGCTGCCACGCGACCACCACCAGTCACGCGTGGGCTGAGTACACAGCGAGGACGCCCGCTCCTACGCGGATTACGAACCGGTGACTTTATGGTTGCAAAGCAGACGTGCATACCATTCGGCCACCGGCCGACGTCTTAACTGGAGTATTTAAATGCGTGTAGAATGCGAAGTAGTCCACCTGTGTGATGCTCAAACTATTGAGGAGATAGAAAGGAATGTGTTTGAGGAATTTGTTTGCCTCATTTCCCGTTTTCAGTTACTTCTTGCTGCGGGGCAAACAACTAGTAGCGTGCAGTAGCAAAAGAACGATGGTGATAAAAAAAAGCAAGTCAACTTGCCTTATCTTTTGCTTCCATGGGGACTTGAGAACTGAAATGTAGGCTTGGCGGTACGAAACTATACGTACTTGATGGAGGCAAACGTCGAAGAGAAGATGAGAAAAACTGACCCTGATATATATCCCTGTGTGTGCGTTGTTACAGACAAACTTTACATCGTCAAGTCGGGCGCAACTACAGCGGAATATGAAGTGTTGGTGAAAAGTGATGCCAATGATTGCATTCGGCTAACTTGCCGTTGCGTGCACAATTCTCATTGACAAACTGTGTGTATTCGAAGATGTAGTAGAGCAACCTAAGTTTTCAGAGGGTTTTCGATTATGATGCGCTTTTGCAAGGCGGTCATAGGCAAAGCATATTAGGGTCGTAAATTACAAAAGCACGCACGTTATCGAACCTAACGAATGCCCACACACCCCTAGATATAGAATACGTTTTACTTCCTTAGTACGTCGGAAGATTTTAAGGGGTTGCATTCCGTAGTAGTAGTAGTAGTAGTAGTAGTAGTAGTAGTAGTAGTAGTAGTAGTAGTAGTAGTAGTAGTAGTAGTAGTAGTAGTAGTAGTAGTAGTAGTAGTAGTAGTAGTAGTAGTAGTAGTAGTAGTAGTAGTAGTAGTAGTAGTAGTAGTAGTAGTAGTAGTAGTAGTAGTAGTAGTAGTAGTAGTAGTAGTAGTAGTAGTAGTAGTAGTAGTAGTAGTAGTAGTAGTAGTAGTAGTAGTAGTAGTAGTAGTAGTAGTAGTAGTAGTAGTAGTAGTAGTAGTAGTAGTAGTAGTAGTAGTAGTAGTAGTAGTAGTAGTAGTAGTAGTAGTAGTAGTAGTAGTAGTAGTAGTAGTAGTAGTAGTAGTAGTAGTAGTAGTAGTAGTAGTAGTAGTAGTAGTAGTAGTAGTAGTAGTAGTAGTAGTAGTAGTAGTAGTAGTAGTAGTAGTAGTAGTAGTAGTAGTAGTAGTAGTAGTAGTAGTAGTAGTAGTAGTAGTAGTAGTAGTAGTAGTAGTAGTAGTAGTAGTAGTAGTAGTAGTAGTAGTAGTAGTAGTAGTAGTAGTAGTAGTAGTAGTAGTAGTAGTAGTAGTAGTAGTAGTAGTAGTAGTAGTAGTAGTAGTAGTAGTAGTAGTAGTAGTAGTAGTAGTAGTAGTAGTAGTAGTAGTAGTAGTAGTAGTAGTAGTAGTAGTAGTAGTAGTAGTAGTAGTAGTAGTAGTAGTAGTAGTAGTAGTAGTAGTAGTAGTAGTAGTAGTAGTAGTAGTAGTAGTAGTAGTAGTAGTAGTAGTAGTAGTAGTAGTAGTAGTAGTAGTAGTAGTAGTAGTAGTAGTAGTAGTAGTAGTAGTAGTAGTAGTAGTAGTAGTAGTAGTAGTAGTAGTAGTAGTAGTAGTAGTAGTAGTAGTAGTAGTAGTAGTAGTAGTAGTAGTAGTAGTAGTAGTAGTAGTAGTAGTAGTAGTAGTAGTAGTAGTAGTAGTAGTAGTAGTAGTAGTAGTAGTAGTAGTAGTAGTAGTAGTAGTAGTAGTAGTAGTAGTAGTAGTAGTAGTAGTAGTAGTAGTAGTAGTAGTAGTAGTAGTAGTAGTAGTAGTAGTAGTAGTAGTAGTAGTAGTAGTAGTAGTAGTAGTAGTAGTAGTAGTAGTAGTAGTAGTAGTAGTAGTAGTAGTAGTAGTAGTAGTAGTAGTAGTAGTAGTAGTAGTAGTAGTAGTAGTAGTAGTAGTAGTAGTAGTAGTAGTAGTAGTAGTAGTAGTAGTAGTAGTAGTAGTAGTAGTAGTAGTAGTAGTAGTAGTAGTAGTAGTAGTAGTAGTAGTAGTAGTAGTAGTAGTAGTAGTAGTAGTAGTAGTAGTAGTAGTAGTAGTAGTAGTAGTAGTAGTAGTAGTAGTAGTAGTAGGTTGCACTAGGAGGCGTATAAATTGGGCGAAGGTTAAGGAGCACGTTCAAGTAACACCGTGGATATATGGTTTCTAGAGGTGGACTGCGTTTTTCAATAATCCTTGTCTCTATCCCATCACCTCGGAAAGGAAGAGTAGGTAAGTGCTATGGGTGACGCGGTAGATGCAGGAATGACAGGATTTCAAGCGAAAACTAGCACAGTGGTTCATGAAACTTGACTTTCGTCTACGCCGAGGTGTATATTTTATGTCGAGGGTCTCACCAAGTGAGTGTGGCTTCGGCAATTTGTCGGATGACCTGCGTAGCTCCTGTGACCAAAAATTGACATTCTTCTGAGAGACCAATTCATCATGTGGACTTTGTGTTTGTGCCACAAACTAGTTAAGAAAGATCTGCATACAAGTCCACGTCGATGGTTTTTTATTCCTAAGAGATGGGACAATGGTCTCCACATTTTGAACGGTTGGACAAAACTCCAAGTGAAGCACCCAATCACCTAGAACCCCTTCATCATTCCGTCGAGTTGGCAAGCTATGCAACCACTGCGTTGTGTCAGCATTAAAACGTTGAGTAGGTAGCTACCTTCCGTGAACACCGTACATGTGTTTGCTACGGGTAAAAAGGGTAATTAAAACTCCTGTAGTATGACAGAGGAGCGAATGGCAAATCCATGTGTATGCATAGCAGTAATCAACACACAAGCTAACCACTCCAAATTTGGCGCAATTTGACTGGGGAACCAACTATTTATACGCGTAATAACGCTTAGGGCAATATACCGGGCTTTGTTCACAAATGTTCTACGAGTCAAAGCAATCACATTCTGTGACGGACTCTACACTTCTCAATTCGTTGCAGCATTCCTCTGATCATGCTTTAAGCTCGATCGTGTGCGTCATGTGACACGTTGCACCTGTGCGCTTTTATGAGCCATACTCATGGACTTTTTGCGAAGTGAGATCACGTGATCGACTTGCCACCGACTGCACTGGTACGGTGACTAACGTCAATGTATGTGGCTCACATGAGGGCACACGTGCAACGTGTCACCTGACGCAAGCGATCCAGCTTCAAGCGTAACCGATACAAACATTTGGGGGGCTATGTAACGAATTGAGAAAGGCAAGTATCGCGTTGGTAGTGTAACTTGTTCGTTTCCTCAACCCCCAGCATGTCTTGCGAGATATATAATTCAGTAGAGCAATTGTGTTGTGACTAGAAAGGGCCATAATCTTTTCTTGTCTACTGGGTTAGTCAACAAAGGTATCCTTAATGCAATTTTATTACCATTTTTGCGACGAATTAAAGCCACTTAACGTTTACGTATTTCTCGGTCTTCTAAGTTGGAACACTGAAGGCATATACCCAGCATCTTTACGACTGCAGGTCTGGTCAGAGAGGAAAACACTTTAAAAGCACCACGAACATTAAACCCCTTACGATTAGTATCACCAACCGTCAATTCAGTTTGGCATCAAAGGGAAGAAATGGCATACGCACGGCCACATCGTTATATATATATATATATATATATATATATATATATATATATATATATATATATATTGTGCACACAGTCAAGTAGCTGCATCCGAAACATACTACTATAAGCAATGGGAACCAATCGCTGCCTCCGGTAATTACCTACGTTACCAGATAACCTATGTCAATCACAAGATGGAGAGTTAGTGCTTAGTCTTTAAGTTCACGTTGAAGTAATGCTATGAGACGTCACTCCTACGCCATACAGCAATCCACGTCGAACGAACTGACAGTACTCTCCACTATGTTGACTATCCTAATCAGTGCCTAACCCCTCCCTCTTCAGGATAGTACGACAGAGAAGCTGAAAACGGCAAATATCAACCTCTCGGCTAGGTACAAAGACTTGGTCAGAAGTATTCACGAATTTGAAGCAAGTGGAGAAGTCATCCACGCAATCGATGCGGAAGAACTCCGCATTCAGTCGAAAACTGCCGCCGCAGAGATGGCTACCCAGTACTTACAACACGGTTGGTTGAAGGCGGTTTGCGCTCGGACAACTCGAGCTCTTGAGAGATCACGGGTAGGTCGGCCAGTGGTTTGCAGCTAAAAGGTTCAGCTTTTGCCCATCCAATTTGCTTTAACCTACACCGAATGCTGATTTGGACTTCACGGTAGCCTGGTGATAGGTACAAACCAAAGGTTCCCGTTGAGTAGATGAATACTACAATGAACGAACCTTCAAGTATGCAGGCCCGTAGCCGTCATTCATGGCTAATTGGCGCAGGGTGCTGACATCGGGATGTCATGGGGTCGCAAGCCGGCAGAGGTCCGAGGAAGGCGCACCAATGACGAGACCCAGAAGGCCAACATAGCACGGGCTGGTGCTTGTTCAAATGTGCCAAGGCCTGCTGACTAAGAGTGGACTGTACCGAATTATTTATGAACCTTGCTTTATCACGGGCTAAAAGCAAGTGCGTGACACAGTCCGTATGATGGTTGAAGTGAAGAAAATGAAATCAAACTACACGTAAGTCAGTTACCGAGGGTCTACCAAGATAAACGCGTTGATAAATAACGTTACACTAAAAATCGAATGTCGGCATACAACAATATCCGGGTGCAGCGGTGGCTGACGTAAGGCGTGAGGAAATTCAACTATGATCGCTCACTTATGCCCCGCCTCCTTGGGGCAGGTGAAGTGTAAAGTTAGTGCAAATGCCTGATTAATGTAATCCAAAATAGGTAACGCAATGCTGGGGGGGGTTAAAAATAGCGTGCAATTGCTTTTTGAAAAGATCAAAAGTAGGGCAGGATAGGGTCGCCTTTGAGGGGACGTTCCATGGTTGGCTCACTCGAAAGGAAAAGTAATTCTGTCAACATTCAAGACGTCTATATTGTTCGCGCAATTTCATACAGCTACCAAGTAGTTGTGTATTGTGGCTAACTTTCAGAATGGGTCCATCTACATGCTTGGGGTCACTCAATATTCGGTATACCAATATATGTACTCTCCTCGCAGTTTTCGGTAGTATTTGTTGAAAACTCCCAACAACTTAAGCCTTCGCTGAAAAAAGCGACGGCGTAGGTCCTTGACATTTTTGTTGCACTTCGTTGTGGTGCCTTTAACGCCTCTAGATCTCGCTTCAACCAAGGCTACCAAGCTTTGATAGCGTAGTTAACGTTTAGGCGCAAGTAAGAATTGTACGTCATCGGGAATATTGATGGGTAAATCTCCCGAATACACTTCTCAGCAGGCCGACGTGCTGGTCGCTACTTTTCTCAGCAGCGTTAAACTGTTTTGAACAGTTGAGGTCACTCTGTACGAGCACACCAAGGTCATGTTCCTGGGAGCTGGTCTGCAATCTGTGTGCCTCAAACAAATAGACGTAGTCATATGTATGACGTAATTGCACAGCGCGACATTTGTCTACCTTAAAGATTAGGGCATTCTGAACTGACCAGTCCGAAATCGTGTTAAGATCACACTGGAGCTGTTCATGGTCTTCTGGTCCTCTGATCGCTCACCAGACTTGGCTAGCATCTGCGAACTGTATGAAATCGGAAGCAATTTTTCTCTCTAGACGGTTTAGGAATACCAAGGATAGGCAAGACCCTGGCACCCAGCGTTGTGGTACACCGCACTCCACATCAATTGCGGCGGACAGGGATTCCCGGACTTTCACATCCAACCGATGTTCGTGAAGGAGCTTACTCATTCAGGTTGGAATTGGGTCGCCAGTGTCGTTGTTCCGAAGTTTGTGACGGCGAAGTCGATGGTCTAAGCTAAGGGTTACCAAACTGTTTTCACGGTGGACCGGATAACTAGAAAAACTGACTGGAATGATCCGGATTACTGGAAAAATGACTAACACGGGACTGAATAACTAACAAAAGGTTTTGTTTGGGCCTCGTAGTTACCATACATAATAGTTGGGGATCAGAAGGAAGAACTTGAGAGAAAATTCACGACATTCGGTATAGGCTTTTCTTTTCCCGGTAGCTTTAGTAAGGACTGGAATAAATAGGATCCAAACAAAATAAAACTGTTGAATTACAAACATAATAATACTTTAATTGAAACTGCGGAACAAAGGGAGCGGTGGTCATTGGGGAACATGCATTCAGTAATACTAAATGTATGAATCTCAACAATTTACCCTTCTAGTGCAATTCCGTACTATCAGTTTGCACTTTACTCCAATTAAAGCTCAAAACTGATATGAGTAAACTAGTGGCGTTTTGGATGACGCGTGCTTCAGGTGCTTGAATCAGTCCCAATATTGTGGGGTGAAGAGACACATGTTAGGGTGCACGGATGAATGGGTTTCTTGCGAGAGAAATTGCATCGGTGTTCCAACGATGTAGGGTCACTTAAATTACGATAGTACGTTCTCACATGTAACAAGCTTGAAAACACTCAGTTTAATCTTCAAATTGCGTATGTGCACTGATAATGGGGCACGTAGTTTAAAATGTAAATTCCATCGCAGCGTCTCGTTTTCCCCACGATTTATCAAGCTAATTCGGTTACAGTCAGTTAGCCAGGTAAAGTGACCTCGCGGGTCAAATCCGACCGGAGGGCAGTAATTTGGTGACTGTTCTGAGCGCTCAAACGCTTTCGAGAAATCCGGCTAGATGTCATCGATTCCTGCTCCCTCACCAACGGCTGCACTCCAACTATTATTTGCAATTAATAGGTTATTATTATATGAGTGCTTTTGACGGAAACCATATTGGTCTGGGGCTATTAAGTTGTGACTTTCCAGATACTGCATCAACGCATTTGCAATGATTGATTCCATAACTTTGAGTGGCACATGACTTAGCGTTATTTAATGGTAATTGATAGGGTCAATACGGTTAGCTTAGTTATGCATAGGAATGATGACTCCTCGCTTCTATACTGGTAGTAAATAGTATTCCTCTAGAGATAGCTAAAAGAAAAAAGCCGGGGTTCTGCCATATCACTGGCCAGTGTCTACAGAGCCCTTGGCCGGATGTCCTCGACTCCAGGAGAACTATTGATACGCAGGGATAACAATTTCTTCAACAAAAAATGTGTCAGCTTATACGCCGTAACGGCGCTTCGCTGCCGCGCGACCACCACCAGTCGCGCGCGGGCTGAGTATACCGCGACGACGCCCACCCCTACGCGGATTCGAACAACAACAAACTTCTGTAGTGACGGTGGAGTAATAGAAACCAGGAGGGTATTTGAGCTCGTTACCTGCTGAAAAATGTGGGAGCAATCAAGCCGTAGGAGGTCAGTTGCTTCCATTACTGACCATGTGCACCCATCAGCCATAACCAGAGAGTGCGCTTCAGTTTACTAAGGCTATTAACGTACTTGTACAGAAGTTTGCGGTTCATGTAGCATCGCTTCATTAACTCTTGCTGAAGTGCCTCATTGTCCTTGCGAATCAATTTCACACAAATTTGCGATGTACCACATATACAGTCCAGATGTTGGTATTTGAGTAGTCCAATTCAGCTCGCCATGCCCGATCTCATAGGGACACACATTTACGTGTGCTGCTTCTCGGAAATGGCTTGTCTCTGTTTTTACGATGGAAAGACTTCTGTTCCGATGCGTGTTATACCAGTGTGCTAAACGTCTTTGTGAACGTTTCTCAGGCGACATCCAAGGGGTATTCGGTTAAGTCGGCCTCAGATGTGTCCTTAACTTGCGTCGACAACACGTCTTAGTAGGTGACAGTATATTATTTATCGTTTACCTTTTCAGGGTATTCCGCATAGCATACATAGTTAAACAGTAGTGTAACACAGTCGTTGTGACCAAGTGGTGTGCTTTTACTTTTTCCGTTGACCATGTGTTCTTCGTTGATGAGCGCAGGATTACGTATCGACGGTCCGTTAGCATTTCGAAATGTGGTGAGAGAAGCCACGTGATTCAAGGCGAGTCAAGTCCAGAATACGCTTTATGCACCCATGAAGAGTGAATCTTCAGCCACAACACACAAGCTAAAAGCACAAGTAAAAGCAAATAGCAACATGACAAATGTATATGGTGCGGCATCAGTTTGAAAAGGTGGCAGTGGCGCTATCATCGATTCAATCTGGCAATGAGGTCTTGTTTGACTACATCTTGATGCCCGTGTGAGGACATACATGGCTTTGGACGTTTGTCAGGTCAAAGACGTTGAGATACGTTCCGACAACGTACAATGGACTGGGTGACTGGCATCAGTGTATCAGTATCTTGGATCCAGCTTTTCGCAGGAGCGAACATAATTGGGCACAAAGATGTCAGTAAACATTAGCGTAGAAATTCCGCTGCATCTAGTAAGATGCTTCAGTGATCTTGTAACAGTGAATTGCCCGCTTAAGAGTCCGAGGCAAATCACAGGTGTTCACAACGTCCAGTGTGGTATTACGCAAGCAGTAACAAACCGTAAAATCAAGTAACGAGGCACGGATAATGACCTAAGTCGGGAGACTTGGTGAAGTTTTTATTCAGGTGATGTGAACACGTGAAATCCACTAAGGTAAGGAATTCAGACCGACACCATCCATACTGAGATGCGGAGTGTGCATCAAGAACTGTTGATAGCAATTTTCTTTGGACAGAGAGAAACAAACTTGTTTACACTTGGATGCGTTGCGGAAAACAGCGGGATTTGGACAAGGTGGTGAGGTTGTCCAAGAAACATTTCAAGTTAGCCGATGAATCTGTGGTGTGCTTGTGTACACCAGGGATCACGTCTTCAGCAGACTTCATTAACAGGTTTCGATAACTTACTAGTCTACCCAAAGAGGCTTGTAAAGCAGTGCTTCTTAACCCGTAGGAAATCATTAGTCATTGTTCATTCAGCAGGATGGCTTCCTTTGGAGCGGGAATGGAGTTAATCTAGGTAGAAAATAGGAATAAGGCCAACATAGCTCCCTGAAGAACACCTGAATTTTTGGTGACGATGAGCTTTTTCCCCAATCTTGGTAAAATGCGTACTACTAGAAAAGTAGTCTGTAAGGAAAAGCACGACTTCTAATAAAATAGTATACTATCACCCCTTCCAATTCTATCATTCGGCAGCAGTGACTTATCAAGTGAATTAGTCTCAG